CAAAATTTTCAGCTAATAGCCTAGCAGGAACTGGGGGCTGAATGTTCATATAACCATAACGGTCAGAATGCTATTCTGCATATTTTTGTTTATAATAACTAGAGCTCATGATAGTTATAAGGAGAAGGGGAGCAAAGTAAAATTTTATGACTATCTGCCTTAAAATATTTGTAAAAAGCCCAATTCTCCCAAACCATAAAACACAATATCCCTTAGGAAAACCTGTTAGTACATCTTAGCACCGCTGCTGAACAGAGTTAGCACAAAAACATCAACAGGAAAAATACGACTAAATCCTCATCCAGCTGTACCCTCCATATGATGGGGTTATTTATCCTCCTGTTTTTCCCTGACTGCTTTTTTGGTGTTTGTTTTGATGCTGTAGGGAATAACTGGCATCTTCTTTGTGGGACTTCAAAAATGCTTCATTAAAACTCAGACTAAAGTCCTACCTGAGACGACAGAGGCCAAGATCCCCGAGCTCGAGGTAGGTGAATAAATCAGGACAACCCTCTGCCCCCAGGGAAACCACTCCTCTCCCTAGCATTGGGAGCATGGCCACCGTCCCCACCACCCTCCCATCTGTTCCAGCCTTCCCAGAGTTGCTGCAATAAAGAAATAATGAGTTGTGATCACTTCATAAAATGATCTTATTCAAAGGATTGCTTCTAAAAACAAGTGGAAAGAGATGGGATTAGCCAGCCAACAGACAAAAACCTCTCAGCACAATACCAGAGATCAAGAACAATAATCCTGTTGTAGTCAAAAGGTCACAAGGCAGCCCAGGATTAGCAGGCACGAAAAAGTCAATCAAATTGTTTTCTCCAAGAACTGAGCCTCATATTCTCAAGCAGAGTGAGGCGGAAGTAATGAATTTTAAAAAGCAGATGCGTTTAAGAAATGCTATTTGAGAAAGTCCTTGGCGTACAGCCCTGGGAGGTGGGAAGTGCTGGGCTGGGGCCACCTCCCTGCCCTGCATGGACCTTCCTCCCATCCGTGTGCCTGATTGCTTCTTACACCCACTTAATTTTTGCCCACCACATCCTGCTGCAAGGAGTCTCATGCTTTGCATCCTGCGTGGAAAAAAGTGTTTGACTCCACATTTTAACCCCTCTCTGACAGCGTAACCCAGGGTGATAGCTCAGTCCCTTGAAAGCAGTTGTCCCCTGTCCTCATCCCTGTCCCCAAGCCCCCAGTGGTGGCACAGCCCCACAGCACAGCCCTCCCGCCTCCCCGCCCGCAAGATGAAGGGTGTTAGCAGATTGAATCCCCCCCAAGGAAGACGTTGGAGATAAAACGCCAGCAGGACACGTGTTTGAAATGAAGCGTGGGCAGAAACATTTCCCTGAATCATGACCCAAATTCCCAGACACCGATTCTTTGATTATGCTGTAAGAAGCTAATAGATCTTTTCAGCTACCATTGTAAAAGGGATATGACTTCCCAGACTTTAGCAGAACATTGCCCCAGGTAGAGAGCTGAAATGTAAAACCCAAAGAGATAAATGTAGATTTAAGCTCTAGTTGTCTCTTCCCAGAGCCCGCATGCTGCCAGGTCCTTCAGGCAGCACCTCTCCAACCCTGTGGGTTACACCAGCAACTCCAAAAATGACTCAGACTGGGTCAGGTTGTGTTGGCTCTTTCCTAAGGCTTCCCAAAGCCATAAGGAAAAACTCTGTAAAAGAGAAATACAGCTCCAGATGCCTTCTGGAGGGAAAAATACCATTTACCAGCTTGCTCTGTGGGCTACCACCACCAACATACACAACATTGCCTTGTCAGATAGCTCAGTGCAGACCCATTCAATAATCTCTATATATCTCCCTCCCTAAGCGCCTGCCAAAACACACTGTGGGCTAATGCAACGGCAGAGACACGTGGTATAAATTACAGAATACGGCCATGCAAAGAATTTCTGTGAGGAATAAATTAAAGTGTTCGATCACAAAATCGGTAGCAGAAGGAGAGAGAAATTAAGTAGTAAGAGTAAAGCAGAGGGGAGATGTTTTAATCTTGGGTTTTAAATGAGCTGGGGCACTTCAGAAGGCTCTTCCAGATGGTGGGGACTGCACAGGAGAAGGCTCTTGAAGCATGATGAACGGAGGGAGAAGAGAGCAGGGTGGTGTTGGCTGAAAGCAGATGGGAAAGACAAGGCCCATGATGGGTCTCCATATGTGAGGACCAGTGAGGTATCGCACGTGCACCCAGCGAGCACCACAAGCCAAGGCAGATTAAGTCCAGCTGCTCTCTGGGAGGAGAGAGGTACCTCTGGGTAAGCCAAGGGGAGGAGAAGCAGCCAGCAGTGGGGAGAGGGAGTCTCACCACGCTGGGGTGAAATCTTGCTCTTCTTCCAGGGAGAAGAAATCACGACCACCTACTTTGAGCAGTCCGTGGTCTGGGTACCTGGGGAAAAGCCCATTCAGAACAAGGAGTTCTTGAAGAGCTCCAAAATTTTTGACATTTGCAGAAATGTGACCATCTACTGGATCCACCCCACGCCAATAGCAGGTACAAGGAGCCATCTCCTCCCCAAAGTGCTCATTAGCCCCATCACCGGGAGCAGCCCTGCCATCCACCCATGTCCCCCTGCCATGTCCCCTGCTGCTATGTGGTGGGAACCCATTTCCACAGCCTCAGACATAAACGGTGCTGGCCACGACAACGAGAGCGCATGGCTAATGTAATAGCAGGGGCTGAAGTTTCTCTCTGCAAAGCGCTTCTCTCTGCTGGCCCCCCACTTCCCTGCGCTTTGCACAGTGGCCAGCCTTCTCATAACAAGGCAAAAAAACCCAAACCCCTTTGTACCTGCAAAGAAACCAGCACTGCTGGAAACTGGGACGCTTAAATTCTCGTCACTGCATGAACATCAGAGCACGAGCAGACATCTGCATCTAAATCACACAACGGGGTTGCCACCTCCAGCTGCTCACTACACAGCCCTCGCAGAGGTTGCGGCCTCAGAGATCCACCAGTGTAATTACTCACTCTCTCTAACCCACTTCTATCCAAATGAGCTAGTTTAAAAACACCTATCGAAAAAATTCCCTCTGCTCTGCAGCCACAGAGGCGCAGCTCATCCCCTACGGGTACCAGTCAGCTCACAGCCATCGATTATCCTGGGAGCAAGTGGGCATCGGAGGTGCCCAATGCAGAGGGAGGCTATTGTCCTCAGCTGCTGTCCCCTTTCTGCTTCATCGATCCCCGCTGTTAGACCCCATCTGCAGTTGAGTTTCAGCAAAGGAAATTGATGTCACTGTGGTTCTTACCTAAGCTATGGGTGCTGTAGCTGGGCCTCATCTGCCCCAAATCATGTTGCTTTGCTGGGGCTCTACAAATCCCCTCCATAGCAGCAGAGACCACCATGAGGATATGCTTCCCCACACCCACAGGCCCATGCAGGGGCTGCCAACACCACCCACAGGCACCCACCACCCACGAGCACGGGGAGGGGATGGGCCATGTCTTCTCTACCCTCTCCTCCCTCCATGTTATCTCCTACAGCCCTTCTCCCAGGCTTGGTAAAAGCAGCAGGCAATGGAGTACAGCTGGTTTTCTGGTGGGCTTTTCTTGTACCTTGGCACCAAATTTTGGTAGAGACATTAATGCCTGCTGCTGCGTTTGTCTCCCTGCTCCCTGTTTGTTGACAGCAATGTTTGGGCTCTTCCTGTAGCTCCTGAGTTGGCCAACCTTGAAGGGGCGGAAGAAGAAGACCCTGAACTGCTTATAGACAACCAGAGCTGGCTGGACAGGGGGAGTGAACAAGAGGTGGAGAAGGATGCGCAGCCAGGGCCCAAGCGTCGGGCACGGCAGCTCACTGAGGAGGACCTACCTGTCAACGACTATGTGAGTGTGGGGAATCGCACCCTGGGGTGCCCTGGCCATAGTCCAGGGGTGTCCCGGTCACACTCCTGGGGTATTCTGGCCATGATCCTGGAGTGTCCTGGCTGTGCTCCTGGAGTGTCCTAGTCGTGTTCCTGGGGTGTCCTGTCCATGCCCCTGGGGTGTCCTGGTGGTGTTCTTGGGATGCCTTGGCCACGCATTCCCTTTGCTGCGCTGACACTAGCTCTTCCCGGCAGTCGGAGAATGGGCTGGAGTTCCACCCCTTGTGGGATGAGCGAGGCTACTGCTGTGCCCAGTGCCGCCGTGCCAACCGCTACTGCCGGCGGGGCTGCG